CCCCGCGGGATGAGCCCCGCCTCGCACGGCCATAATGGCAGCTGCGGCTGCTGCTGCAGTCCTGGCTCCGATGCCGCCGTCCCTCCCAAGGGTGAGTAGCTCAGCCCGGGGCTTTCTTGAGAAGGTGCTGCTGCCCCCCCAATCCTCTCTGTGCCCTTCCTGCACCCGTGACAGCGGCACGCCACCGTCACACTTAGGGATATAGGACCCAGGCCATTTAGGGCTTATAGGTCAAGACCAGCACCTTGAATTACACCCAGAAAGCTATTGGAAGCCAGTGCAGACTGGAGCACTGGAGAGATGGGTTTTTTCTGGGGACCCAACCCTCTCCTAAAGCAAAGCACCCCATTCTGTATCTGCTGCATCTTCCAGAGGGTTTTGGAGGGGTTGTAGTATCCTCTTCTATAGAACTGGGAGAGTCCCCTGTCGCCTGCCTTCCCATGCTAATTGATTTCCTAGCTCATTTCTTGTCTGTCTCAGGCATTTGAATGGGTCCATCACCCTCATTTCCCAGGAGAAGAAATACATATTCTGTGCATGGTCCTGTCTTTGTAACTGCATCTTAGCCTTCCGGTTAGTGAGTTTAGTCATCAGAGTGGGATTTCTCAATATTCAGAGTTTTGCTAGAAATAGTTAGTTTCTCAAGGACAGCAAGCACTCTGTTTGCCTGGGTAAATGGAGACGTTACAGGACTATGCCATGAATTTGGTGTTTGAACCAGGCATGATGAAGGAGCCTCTGATCTCCTTAAAATCATAAAAATCACAGGAAAACAGGGCTGGCAACACCCTCAGGAGATCATATCTAGACCATTCCCCTGCTCCAGGCAGGATCAGCCCTGACTAAACCAGCCCAGATGAGTGTCTGTCCAACCTGTTCTTAAAAACGTTCAAGAATGGAGATTTCCCAACCTCCCTGGGTAGCTGGTTCCAGGACTTAACAATAAGATCAATGGGTGAAAGACTCCATGGCCTCTGATGGATGCACTGATGGAGGTGGGAAAGCTAAGGTAGCTTTCAGACAACTGTGGGTCATCTGACCCCATCTTGCTGGGGGTCTGCTGGGGTTGCCCTTTGGGAGAGAGAGAGCGTGTGCATGAGAATGCAAAATGGATGAACTATTTTGGCTTCCTTTGCTTTTTCTTTTTGAATGTTTAGGTCTGTGAAGGAAGTCTGGGTGCTTCATAGTGAGTGTGAGGTAATGTACCATCCAGAATATTGATTGATGTCTCTCGGTAACTTTGGCTTGATACGGGCCTTATGCAGCAACAACTGAAATCAGTAGGAAGGCTACCGACTGGTGGGGGCAGGTCCTAAATACATGGTAGTCAAAGGTGCAGTATAGACAGAGTGCAGCATATTTTGGTTTAGCTAATAGGTTTTGGTAGGGCTGAAACTACTTTCTGGAATCTGAATTGGGTGGGTGAGGTTCCCTAAGGGCTCTTTAAATGGAAGAGGGATTCTTCAGAAACAGTTGAAGAACAAAATTGATGGATCACACTTTTTTTTTTTGTCCAGCACACCTACAGCCTAGGGAATGACCTGCTGGGTGGCACGGAAGTGGAGAGGGATCTTGGAGTCCTAGTGGACTCCACGATGAACATGAGTCGGCAGTGTGACGAAGCCATCAGAAAAGCTAATGGCACTTTATCGTGCATCAGCAGATGCATGACGAATAGGTCCAAGGAGGTGATACTTCCCCTCTATCGGGCGCTGGTCAGACCGCAGTTGGAGTACTGCGTGCAATTCTGGGCGCCGCACTTCAAGAGGGATGCGGATAACCTGGAGAGGGTCCAGAGAAGGGCCACTCGTATGGTTAAGGGCCTGCAGACCAAGCCCTACGAGGAGAGACTGGGGCACCTGGACCTCTTCAGCCTCCGCAAGAGAAGGTTGAGAGGCGACCTTGTGGCTGCCTATAAGTTCATCACGGGTGCACAGAAGGGAATTGGTGAGGTTTTATTCACCAAGGCGCCCCCGGGGGTTACAAGAAATAATGGCCACAAGCTAGCAGAGAGCAGATTTAGATTGGACATTAGGAAGAACTTCTTCACAGTTCGAGTGGCCAAGGTCTGGAACGGGCTTTGAATAGGCATCTAGGTGGGGTCATCTAGCCCCAGCCCTCTTTCCTGCCTATGCAGGGGGTTGGACTCGATGATCTATTGAAGTCCCTTCCGACCCTAACATCTATGAATCTATGAATCTATGAATCTTGCATTACAATTGTGCCTAAAGGACTTGGTTACTTTTGGGCTTCATTGTGTTAAGCATTTAGGCATGGCAAGAAAGCCATTGCCTTCCCTTCCAATCTGAATTCATAGGACAAATGTCTGAGAAGAACCGTGCCATCTTCTTGAGTCAGGTTTTGATCTGACCTGAGGGGTGTTATTTTAAGGGCACTCTTTGGGTAGCAATCTTTCTGATCCTAGTGAAGCTCAACTCCAGGTATGATCAAGTTGGGGCTGGTCCTGCTTGGACCAGGGGGTTGGACTAGATGTGACCTCCTGAGCTCCCTTCCCACCCTCGGTTTCTATGATTGTATGTTTGGCTCTTAGGAGTATAAGAGAGAATTCATGGCTGACTGGAGGAAGCTGGATCTGGATGTGATGCTGTGTCCCATGTTTGGCCCTGCTTTTAAGGCTGGATATCCTTCAAAACTCTCAGGTATAAATTCATGGAGCAGGAAATGTGCCGGTGCACTTGAGGCTCATGTCCAGTCCTGACTCTTTGGGTGGATCAAGGAGCTCTAAGGCTTCCTGTGGATGGATGGCCTTTCAGTTCACTGGAGATAATAGAAGAGCACTTTTCAGCTTCATCTCCAGTCCTATCTCCCCATACTTCCTAAGCCCATCTTTCCACTTAGCTGGGATCTATCCAGGACTGTTTCCCACTTAGCAGCAGGGAGGCACCAAAATACCATCTAAAATTAGGTCCTTAAACCAATATGGGAATGGGGGCTCCTATGTCACTTAGGCACTTTTGACAATTTTACCCATGATGCTTTGGTGATAGCTCACCCTCTCCAGCTTGATGTGGTACTTTAATACTGTTGATGCTGGGCAAAATGTTCTGTGCATGGCATAGGCTTGGGGACAGATACCATATCCCATCCTCATAATGTAGGACTTGGACAGAGTAGTGTAGCTGAGAGAAGAACCGTATTTTCTGGCATACAACATGCCTTTAGAATAAGATACCTCGTTTTTGAAAGGATGAAAGAAGAAAGAAAAGCTATTTCCTTGTAGTCAATAAATAAAGCTAAAAACAGACCTTGGGTTTATCCCGGATCTGATCATCCTGGCCTTTGACCTGCAGCAAACCAGGCGATTTACACACACAACTTGAATGGCAACTAACTTGGATTAGGCCAGACTATCCTGGGGGGAAAGGGCTATTGTGGTTCTTCCCAGGTGCTTAAAGTGGGACAATGAGTTTGTACATCTGTAGGATCCCAGAATAAAAGGCCTGGGGGAAATCCAACCTCTGTTTTTAGCCTGAGTCATAGCACCTAATGAACTGAGTCTGCTTATCATTCTTCTCCCTGTAAACTGTACTTTCCCTTTTGCCTTGTAAGTGGCAGGTACTGCTCTTACCGCATTTCTCACATGTAATGTGCATTCCAATTTATGGCAGCTGGTTTGGGAGGGGAGGGAAGATGCATGTTGGGTCCTGGGAATGTGTTATCCTTGGAGGTAGCGAATTCCACAAGAGAAGATGGAGGTTGAGGGACCCTTTACCATCTAGAGCTCCTGCCATGCTCCAGTTGTGCTCCTACAATATCTCCGTCATTCCTCCCTCCCACAAAGGAATGATTTTCCAGTGGGGAATGCGTCATTTCTCCGGCAGAGGTAATGATCAGGACCTGAACACGTTCTGTTTTACAGTGCTCGTGAGCTATACTATTCTGTATAACTACTTGGACTTCCCTGCTGGGGTCGTGCCTGTCACTACAGTGACTGAAGAGGATGAGGAAGCACTGAAGAGCTACAAGGGATACCATCACGACTGGTATGACAAGCTGCTTGTGAAGGTTCGTAGCTGCCTGGCCTTAGGATGCTTGTGCTGCCATCCACCTTGCCTTGACTTCGGATGTCAAACTGTTTCCTTCTTTGTGTTTCCATGGACAGGCTACTTGTGAAGCTGTGGGGCTGCCCTTGGCGGTTCAGTGTGTGGCTTTGCCATGGGAAGAGGAGCTCTGCCTTCGGTTCATGAAGGAGGTGGAGAGACTGACCCAACGAAAGCAAAAGCATCTGTGAACAACGTGCACACCGCAGAGCACAGGATGAAGGCCACCCTCCTCCTCAGTGCATCCATCTGTTTCAACCCGTAGGGGCACAATGTCTGTATGGTTAAATAACTCAAGGATTGCTTTTGGTTGGTGAGGTAGCGTTTGTCTATCTGCTCTGTTCCCTGGGTGCTCTCCAGGGACACACGCTCTGCTAATATACTGATACACACTTGGGTAACGTCTCTCATTTCAGGTTCTCCATAGCAATTAGACACATCAACTAACTACACCTAACAACAACCCCTTGTGAGGTGGGGAATGGGGTCTATGCCCAGCTTACTGGATATGACCAACGTGTGGCAGACCAGAGACTCAAATTCCAACTCGCTTTATGCTTTCTCTCATAACTACTCTAAACACCACTAGTGTATTTTCCTACGGGGGTATAGAGGACGCACCTTGTTTTTGACAGGTGGGATATTCCCTGTAGAAAGTGAGCAGCAGCAGACAAGGAGCTGAGTCTGCCCCCACACCGACTGCCAGCTCTGTGCATTGGATGAGGCATGGAGGGTCCAGAGCCATGTGCTGTGTCCAGGGCTGTGTGCCAGGGCCGAGGCCATGCATCGGGTCTGAGACTTTGCACTGGGTCCAGGGCTGTGTACCTAATCTGGCATGCCGGGCCATGTCATCTGGCTGAGGGCCTAGAGATTTGGCAGCAGGGGGGCAGTGGCAG